CCACCTCCGGGGTGCAAGCGATTCTTCTGCCTCAGCCTCTCCAGTAGCTGTAATTACAGGCATGCACCACCAGGCCCGGTTACTTTTATACTTTCAGTAGAGCCGGGGTTTCGCCATGTTGGTCAAGCTGGTCTCAAACTCCTGACCTCAGGTGATCCGCCCGTCTCGGCCTCCCAAAGTGCTGGGATTACAAGCGTGAGCCACCGCGCTGGGCCAGAATTTTTTCTCTTAATGTACCACTGTGGTAATTGGGAATTAACAATGACAGGCAAAATTTACAAGCTTTTATTAATTAATGTGCCAGGTGCAATTGTAAGTGTCATATGTGTGACAATTTTTTTTTTTTTTTGTCTTGCTCTGTCGCCCGGGCTGGAGTGCAGTGGCGTGATCTTTGCTCACTGCAAGCTCTGCCTCCCAGGCTCACGCCATTCTCCCGCCTCAGCCTCCCGAGTAGCTGGGACTACAGGTGCCCGCCACCACGCACGGCTAATTTTTTGTATTTTCAGTAGAGACGTGGTTAAAAATGATAATCAGAAAATACATGACATGTGGCTACTGAGCTTACCGTTTAAAGTTTGTCAGACCTTTAACTTTTCTCTATGGAGGAGCCCTTCTCCACGAACCCAGTGTACTCAGTGCTTGTAATTTACAGCAGTCATTAAAATGATGACATTACATGTAATTCATTTATTTCCAAAGAGTAATTGAGGACCTAAAAAATGTAGGTGGTAATAGGCATGTCCATGACATACAGCACTATGTAGTATGCAAAGGCTTACACAGCACTCTCATCAATCCATGAACATGCTTTTTTGTCTTAGATCAAGCTTGTCCAACCTGCAGCCCTTGGGGGATGCATGTGGCCCAGGACGGCTTTAAATGCAGCCCAACACATGTATGTAAATTTTCTTAAAACATGATGATTTTCTTTGGCGTTTTGGCTTTTTTGTTTGTTTTAGCTCATCAGCTATTGTTAGTGTGAGCCTATTTTATGTGTGGCCCAAGCCAGTTCTTCCAATGTGGTCCGGGGAAGCCAAAAGATTGGCCATCCCTGCATTAGATGGTTCATGTCTGACTTTCATTGAATAAACCTGTGCTTTTACCATACCACATTAGTAAAACGGGGCTCAATGTGTTTTTAAAAAATCACATTATGTGTATTTCCAGACATAAGGTAAGTTTCATCAACTTTTATCCAAACACCCTCAGTTGTAATCCCACTAGGAACCGCCAGGGCGAGACGAAGCCGGCACCGCTGCCAGCTTTACGTGGAGTCTGGGAAATGGTTCAGCACCATGAGATCCGCCGAAGACGTAGGTGTAGACGAGGAACAAAAGAGAAGACCCCTCGTGGAGGTGGCCTGTGGGGCCCGCCCTCCCCGGGCGCCGTCTGTCCCTGACTCCGCTCCCCCAGGGGCCGCAGCGGGTGCTCCCCGCGACTCAGCGGGCTGTGGAGGGAG